ACAACTGCGATCGTTTGGCCTGCTGGAATGCTCAAGGTGATGCCACAGCACACGGGCACATTTGGGCGAGACGGATAAGCGAATTGCACGTCTTCCAGCGTGATGTGACCCTGAACAGCGTCGAGTGTCACACCGGCGCTGGAGGCATCCACGCTAGGGTTTCGATGGATGAGCTCAAACAATTCAAACGCCGCCAATCGAGCTATTGTAGTGGCTTCGAGAGTCGGGGCCAGGCGTCCAAAGGCACTTGCGCCGATGGCGACGCAGAAAAATGCTGTGATGATGCGGCCGCTGTCGTAGCACTGATTCGAGCGAGCACACGACTGGGAGCTGTCCCCTAATTGGTCTCGAACGACCAGCGTCGCGCTGTAATACATTGCAGCGGCGTACGTGCTAAAGAGGATGAAGAAATCGATGCCGATGCCGATGCCAACGGCACGGCCTTTGCGAATCCCCGCCGCTTGAGAGTCGTTGAGCGCTGCCGAGTACTTGTCCACGGCTGCGTGAAGCGTGTTGAGCACGTGGACGATCTTGACGTTGGACAGTGATTCCTGGGCGATACCGCCGGCATGGGCATACCCTTTGGCGCCGCTCTGGACAGCCGCTGTCACAGCCTTTGTCATGCAATACGAACTGATCGTCATGAGCGGAACAAAGGCCAGGAGCACGAGCGAGAGCTGCCATCCGTAGTAGAAAGCCAGCCCGAAGCCCATCACTCCAATCGAGATGAAGTTGAGCGCATCGCCGACTTTTCGACCAATGCCTTCTTGTACGAGCAGCGTCGTGTGCGCGACTCGCGTGGCGAGTTCCATCGGATCAATTGTGTCAAACCACGCGACGTCTTGGCGCAAGATCGCTGACGCGAGGGCATGGCGGATCTTCTTGGCCTGGCGGGAAGACGTGATGGACCAGCATGCAATTTGAAGGAGCCCGCACACGAAGACGACCGCGGCAAGGATGACAATTTGAACGGAAACGCGGTTAATGCCGCGCTGAAACGCGTCACGGTCAAACGGCACTTCGGATGTCGACTCCTGCGGCTTGATGAACGCGTTGATCACGTTGCCAAGGAGGACCATTTGAATCGAATCGGTTAGGCCTGTCGCGATTGCCGCGATGGACCCGACAGCCATGAGTACGTAGTCGGTACTGTCGGCGAAATGAAACAATTGGGCAAACGACGCCAACCGGGGCGGCACGGGATCCGACATGTCAAAGGATTCGGCGGTGCTCACAGGAACGGAGGTCGAGTTGGCTGGCGACGCGACTTGGTGATACTTGTCGGCAGTGCCGGTCATGGGTGTGACGGTTGCGGTGAGAGTTAGAATGGCCAGCGATGATCACGACATGGCGTCGAGTAGTTTGTGGTAGTCAACTGCACCGGTGACCCTGCCCAGCCTGAAGGAAAGCCACCGTTTCGATCCGTCCAGAGTGCTCCATCTCGGCGACTGTGTCCAGCCAAACAATGATTGAAGTTGTGCGCGTACGTATTTCGAGTGACTCGCAATGTATACAACTGAGATGGACTGTATGGCCATCGCGTGTCGGGGCCGTGACTGCCGCTGCGTTGTCAGAACAGAGTCGGGGAATGGGGCGTCAGTTTCCCTTCGATGGTTAGCCTTCGAACCGTGACGAAACAGGCTCATTCATATCTGTCGAGCACATTGAGCAAGGTGAGATACATGGCCTCTTCAAGTTACATCTTGGCGCCCTCCGAGCTGTCCACATGTAAAGAACGCGCCCAGTTTACACCACTCACGCGCCAGTCGAGGTGATTGCGTGCAGCAGTCTGGGGTAGGAGGCGGTGGGTGGGGCTGAGCTCTCGTTGGAGAGACGACTGACCACACCACAAAACCGAGTCAAAAAGAGTTCAAGTATTGAAATTGGACGCCTGCCAGCCTGCGGTGTCTACTGTGGCTTCGATTCTCCATACATGAAGGCGTCATCCCGTCTTTCGTTCACATCTCAACAGTGTTTACCACTTTAGTTGAGTGGAGAGGGTGCGTGCCTCTCCTTGGTCGCATCGCAGTGCCTCCCCCCACTCCACACACGTCAAACCCCCTTTATTGCTTCGAAACCACCGAGACCGCCGCGGCAATCGATCTAGGATGGTGATTAGACAGACTTTCCGCTGCCCCTTTCTTCGCCGTCGTGTGTTACGCCATCACGGCACAGCCTGTTTCGAAAGATGTACGTGGATGGTTTCGCCTGAAGTCGGCATGATTACGAACCTAATGGAACGATGGCGATTTGCTGTTGAACATACGCGTGAATGGCATCCACTCACTCGAAGTGCAAGACAGTCGCAAGTAGCATTGATTGTGCCAGTGTGACGTACTACTGTGCTGGGTCCAGCCGAGAGTCATCATATTTAACAAAAAACGCGTTTTTACGATAACGTTAATGTCTGAATTGAATTCCAACTGAAGTGCGTCTACTGTACGTCCAGAAACGATAAACGCACCGAAAAAATCTCAGCACCGACCTAGTCCCGAACAACGAATCAAACAATACTCTGTTGACACAGTGCGTCGAACGCAGTGCGCCAGAGCGAGTCCCAGTTGTCAGAAAATCGAAATTGCTGAGGTGAAATAAAGTACTGCAATACCGTGATATCGAGTAGGGCCATGAAGTGCATTATTCGTATTTGAATACAGTAGTCGTTCTGGAAGGGGTGAAATTGATTTTGGGTCGTACAATTCGAAATTCACTCTGTACGATGCCTCACCATTCTGACTCAAACGTACCAATTATAGCAGACACGGATTTTCAATGTGCAGAACAAAAACAACACATCACACAATGCACGCGATAAAACCTTTACGCATTTTTAGATCAAGTACTCATCCTCGCCCTCCAAAATTTTGCATATGTCGTTCGCAGGATTAATTGTGTCCTCAACAATGTCGCCACAGTACGTCGGGTCTGCGAGCTGCACGGCGATGAATTGCTCTGGTCGAGTGTGCCCCGAGTCCAGTCCAACTTCGCTGAGATCGGTTGCTGCATCAATCACAATGGGACGACCTGGTCGTTTAATTATCCGGTTATCGGTCGTCGACCGGAGTCCTGGAGTCCTGGCAAGTGGGTACTGTATTGAGGGGAACGATGTGAGCTGACTAGGAAGGTAATGAGAAGTAATACAGTTTGGATATTGCATTGCTTCCTGAACGGAAGACACCTTACGGACAAACAAGGCGCTGACTCACAACAAAGATATATTTAGTGCACTACGAGTCTCAAATGGCTGACAGTGAACATGACGGACAAGACGGATCGCGTTCGCCACGTGGCGACAATGACAGGTCGCGTTCGACGGAGCGTAGTCGTACCTCTCGACACAAGACGGCCTGCAGTGTGGAACGTTCCAGCCGGTGCCTGCGCCAATTCGATCCCCGCAGCGATGACAGCCGCAGCCGATCGAGCCGACCATGCCCTGGAGAGGGGGCTTTGGCTATGCTCCAGCGGCAGGAGCGGCAGCTGGAGGCTGGCCGCTAGACCCCAGTCAAGTGCCTTCATCGGCTGGTGAGGAGGAATATTTTCCTGGCGCGGCGGCTAGACAAGAGCTGCCGCAAACCACTGGCGCGGCAGCTCGTCAACAGCCGTCGCAGAATGACGATGACATGGGCGAAGACATCCCGTATGATTTTCACGCGCCGGCGATTCCCCTAGCTCTGAGCTTTAGCGGCTCGACCAAGCAAGAGCACCTCGTTTTTGTGCGTGCCTGCCAGGAGTATGTGGGCCAAATCAACGCGCGACAGACAGATGGCGCTACACCATTCGTGACGCCCGGTCCGCATGTGTGGATCACTTTACGAAGTGCCGTGTGGCGTTGTGGGATTTCAACCGGCTGTGCGACGAAATCACGGAGTCCGAGTGGATCGCGTGGTTTAGTAGGGCGTTCGAAGAATAGCCGCGAGACCTCGATACCCTCAAGAGGCACCTGGAGGCGACCATACGTTTCGACACCAAGATTCCGGGCGCCGACTCTCAGGTTGGGAAGAAGCTCTACGAGCTTATGTAGGCCGTGGAACACGACAACCAGGAATGGGTCCTCAAGGACGAAGGTAAAGTTGTCGTTGACCCTATGGTCAAGGCGGTCCCATCTTCGATGCTCCAATCGACCGTAAGGAAGCAATTGCAGTTGCAGATCAACAAGCCGTTGCGCTCCGACGTGTTTCACTTAGTCAACTGGTTGCGGACGTTCGCAACCGGTTGCCAAATCTAAGGCGGCGCAGAAGTTGAGGAGAAGCCCGCCAAGCCGGCGAAGAGTCAAGACGGTCGTGGCGTTGCGTCGAAGAGGCTCGACGAGAAGAAACCAGACGGGGAGCTGGGCAGGCGAAGCCATGGTCCCCGGACGGAGTGACCAAGTCGGACACACCGTCTGCCCCTGCGCGAAAGCCTGCTGCGTGCCTCAAGCGAAAGTCTACGGCTCCCAAAGTCACGGATTGCTCGAAGACGGCGCCTGGCGAAGCGTAAGTACTGCTAGCGGCGCAGATGCAATAGTGGAAGGCCGCCCACAAGGCACGTCCGACTGCTAACGTTTTCGATATCGGTCCAAACCACTCGATTGAAGGCGGTGCCACCGTGGCCGACATTGTCGTGGTAGAGAACCTGCTGCTTGACTGGGGTGTCAACGTCAACGTGACCTACGTGGGGTTGATTACGGCGCTCGAGAAGGTGGACGTGGCGACTCAGGTGGTGGCGGACGACACACCTACCGCCCTGTACCCGTATGGAAAGGAGACCTAGCCGGTCGTGCTATCCCATCGCTTACGCCTGAGTGTAGAGCTCACAACAACGTGTGGTCCTCTCCTACTGCGTGGCGTGCCCATGTGGATCGCGACGAGGCGGACGCCGAAGTGGCGCTGATTATCAGCCATCCTGTGATGGAGCCCTTGGGATTCTTTACGGACGCGCTGCTCGTGAAGGCGCCGTCTTTCAAACCTGAGTGGGACATGTCCGACAGCGAATTCTTGCCGTCTGCTGAAGTTGCTGTAAATCGGGAGTCCACGTCCCAATGGAGTGCTCTACCTCTGGACTAGACATCTGCCGGGTGAGAGCGAGGAAGACCACCGTCTACGTTGCGGGGCCGAGATAAAGGCTATACTGGCGACGAAAGTCAATGACGCTTGAAGCCTCGGCCTACGCGACGAACAAGCCGTGTGCTTGAAACAACTGCTGGCCAAGTTTGTGGACGTGTTCCGAACGGATGTCGGGAATGACCCCCGATCAAGGTGGAGCCCCTCAAGGTTCACCTGAAGCTAGACGCAGTATCGGTCAAGTGCTCGATGCGTGGCTATTCACTCGATCATGTTGAGCTCCTCAATCGACATGTCGACCAGCTCAAAGATGCCGGACTGGTCTACCAAAACAACCGGGCGATGTGGGCTGCGGCGTCCCGGATTGTGCCAAAGAAGCAAAGAAGGGCCCAGGCGATCTGTGGATGACTATCGACAGTCGCACAATCTATGCCTGCACGGAGCCTATGCCCTGGCCGATGCCCGATCTTGACGCCGCGATGGTGGTCCTGTCGGCACGTCTGTCTATATTTCCCTGGATTGGACGAAGGGGTACTGGCGGCTGCCACTGCATCCGGCCAGCCAGGAGCTGTACTCGTTCATGACACTTTGGGGCGTGTTCACGCCTACGCGTGTGCTGATGGGACAGACTGACACCGTTGCGTTCTGTCAATTTGCTGTCCATAAAATGTTTGGCGAGCTCCTCTTTCGCGGTTTACTCGCCTGGCTGGACGTCTGCTTGGTGCAGCGACCACGCCAATGGGTCTGTTCTGCTGCGGCCGACCTGCTGGAACAAGTCCTGGAGATCTATCTGCGAGACCTTTGGACTAAAGCTGCACCCAAAGAAATGCGCGTTTTTCCTAAGGGAGGCCGAATGGTGCGGCAAGGTCATCTCGTCTGCTGGCGGGTTCAAGGGTTGTGCGACTTGGCAGAGCCAACGACGGCCGCCGACCTCAAGCAGTTCATCTGTGCGACCAATTTGACGCGGTCGAGCATCCCGGAGTATGGTCAACTGATTGACCCATTGCGTCGACTCCTCGACGTTGGTAGGAAGCTATCCCGGAGTGCCAACAAGTCTGCGCTGGCCACGTTGCGGTCAGTGCCATGGGGTGGGCTGCCGAAAACACGACGTGCTTTGAGGCTGTCAAGAAGGCCCTGATCAGCATTGTCCCGCTGAATCACCACCGACAAGACATGGCCGTGTGTTTGTTCACCGACCGGAGCGAAGGATTCTGTGGTGCGATTGCTACCCAGGGTGCACCGAAGTCCTCGAGCTGCCTCTGTCCGAGCAGCGCCACGAGCCCTTGGCGTTTCTGAGTGGCTCGTTTGTGTCATCAAGTTCACGCTCACTTATTGTGGAAAGGAGACGTTCGCCGTCGTCGAGGCTTGCAAACGCCTGGACTCCCTGTTGATCCGTCCCAGATGTTTGTCTGTTCACGGACCACCAGAATCTCGCGTACATCTTCAACCGCGCGTCCAGAGCCCCAGCATGGTGAAGTACCAAGCTGACAAGCTCCAGCGCTGGGCATTGGTGATGTCCACCTTCCCGTACACCATCGAGTCAGTGTCGGGTGAAGATAACGTGTGGGGCGATCTAATCAGTCGCTGGGGTGCGACGGCAGCTGTGACTCGTGTGCGACGTCTGGCGGCGTTAGTTCACCCCTACGTCACAAGGATTTCGAGTGGCCGACGGCCCAGTCGGTCCTCAAGTCTCAGAAGAATGGCCTCCAGGACGAAGGTCAGCCTCCCCCTGGAGTTACTTGGAACGATGACATCAAATTTTATGTCACTCCGGGAGACAAGATTTGGGTCCCGGACGACGATCTGGATCTCCAACAGCGGCTCTGTGTGATTACCCACCAAGGAGCAGCTGGCCACCGTCGAGTGGCGGCGAAGATGCATCTGTCGCGGGGAAGTGGACCACGCTCAAGGCCGACGTGGCCGACTTCGTAACGGGGTACCTCCATTGCGTGTGTGTGGATGGTTGCCTCTGCCTAAGTCAGACGAGGGCTTGAAGCACGTGCTCGTAGTCAAGGATGACATGAGTGGCTTCGTCCGGTTGTTTCCGTCCCAGACTGCCGATGTCACGGCAACGGCCGCCGCTCTCATGGACTGTTTCACGACGTCTGGAATAGTCACGACATGGGTGTCCGACTGCGGGTCCCATTTCAAGAATGAAGTGATCGAGAAGGTGCGCAAGTTAGTTGGCGCGCACCTTCATGTGACGACGGCGTACACTCCATAGGCGAATGGATCCGTCGAAGTTGTCAACAAAATGCTGCTTCCGGCCGTGAAGGCCTTGCTTAGTGAGTGGCGATTCCCAGCTACGCAGTGGCCAATGGTGCTATCCCTTGTTCAAGGGGCCCTCAATCACCAGCTGTCGAACCGGCTTGGTGGCCTTGCTACTGCGACGGCGTTTGGTGGATTCGACGCGACCTCACCGTTGTCCTGGATTGTGCATCCGACGACCAAAGAAGTCTGGGACGTTGATTGGCTCGACAAGTCCCGGATCAAGCACGTGCAAAACCTCCGAAAGTCGATAGACGAGATGCACCGTGATGCGTCGGTCCGTAGCGAAAAACTACGTAGCCAGGCGATAGCTAGACAAAGGAAGAAATAACGCGTTACACACAGGTCTCCGCAAAGTAATTATCAATTGTGGAAGCTCGAGCTGGTGCTCTCGAAGGTATCGTGGACTG